ATCTACAAAATACAGAAAAAACAAAATTCCTTAGCAATGGAAGTCCTTGACAGTTGACCTCAACCACTTCCTTTACTCAACTATCTCTGCTCTCCTGCTTAACTCTTACCACTACCAGGTACTTCATTCTCACTGCTGCTAATTCCGTGGGCCTTTAACCTGTCCGATAAGCTCCTTTAAAGCTCACGCAGGCCCCATGGGGTGTTGGGATCTGGCTTCTTCCATGATGCAGTCACCGCCTCTAAACTTCTTTCATGCTTCACCTCAAAGCCCGCCCAGCCCCTCCAAGCGCAGTCCCTGCCCCAGAAGCTTGGTGGCCCCGGGAGCTGGCGAGTGAGGCTGACGCAGAAGCCTCAGACCCACCAGATTAAAATCTGCCTTTTCAACAAGATGTTCTGGGGTGTGTGATGAAGTCTGGTAAGTGCTGCTCCCGCTAGGGAGGGTCTGCCCAAAGGCTGAGTGAATGGCACTAATAAATATTGTCAGTGATATTTGCATGCGGTAAAAAGGACAAACTGCATATTACATGCAAACGGCATATATACATATATGTGTACTGTATAATATATGTGTCTATGTATATAAAGTGAGTGAGTCTCTTTTCTGCCTCTGTGGCTCAGATTTTTTACCCCAGAGGCAATAGTGTAAAACTTTCTTGGGTTATCTTCCCTGTTCCATGTGCATGGGATCTGAAATATCCTTACAGATTTCCCTGCAATGCATTTGTGTGCAGAAATAGCTTGCAGTTTTCACACAACAAGATATCTGTGCATGCTATTATCTCTATACTTTAGTATGTAGAGATATGCCAGCTAGTTCTTCTACTGTTGTCTGGTTATAATGGATATGTGTGATTTCTTTGTAATACATTATCCGAGCACATTACTTTATTCTTTGGGCAGGTGAGGTGTCAATGTATTTGCAGGATGGAAGACGCGTACATTTATTTTAGTGGTGGGTGCGGGGTGTCACCCAAGCTGTGCTCAGGAGGCCTGAGATTGCTCTGATGACCTTGGCCTGGTCAATTTGAGGTTCAGTTTGAGGGGTCTTCAGGTCCTATAGTGCCAGAGATACTTGGATCACCTTGGTGGTGCCTGGTGCCCTCTGAGGGCTGTGTGGATGTTGCTCAGAGGACCCTGTGTTGCCAGAGATTGAACCCAAACTGATGTTTGTCACGTAGAGACAATGGGACACGGGACTTAGAGCCACCAGTCTATCACACTGAACTACTCTGACAGCTGGCTGGAGAGGGCTGTCCTTTAACTCCCTTGTCAGTTATGGGAGAGGTAGAGAAAAGCCTTCTAGAGTCTTCCAGGTCCTAATTGCCTTCTTCTCAAATGGTCCACACACCAAAGTGACAAATGTGGGGGTGACCTCTCCTAGTCACCATGACACAAGAAGTCATCTTTAAACCCACACTGGGATTCCACTTGAGTTAACTGGAGCCTGTTCTCCCTCCCTCCCTTCCTTCCGTCCCCTTCCCTCTCCTCTCTTCCTTCCCTCACCTCTATTCTTTTCCTTCCCTTCCCTTCCCTTCCCTTCCCTTCCCTTCCCTTCCCTTCCCTTCCCTTCCCTTCCCCTTCCCTCTTCCCTTCTCTCCCCTTTCCTTCCCTCCTTTCCTGGGGATATTGCTCAGAGACAAAGCACATTGCATGCATAAAATTTGGTTTGATTCCAGAAATCATCCCCTCAAAAATCATCAACTAATTTCTGCTGGGGAGAGGCTTGATCCCTGGCACTATAGAGTCTTTGGAGCACTCCCAGAAGAAACCCTTGAGCACTGAGCTTGGAGTAGCTCCCCAGCACCACCCAGAATGGTCTCCAAACCAAATATAATTAAAATATTCTTTATTGTGATTGAGGTGGCATGATTAAAATAGTTTAACATTTGTGTATACAAAGTTGCTACATCTCTACTACCACTAAAGTACCGAAGACCTCTGTCCTGTGTCACATCTAGTTGGCTTTATCCCGCCCCTCCCCACCCTACCCTTCCTCAGTTATTTGGTCAAAGTCCAAAGGTTTTAGCAATTAGGAAAGAAAAAGAAATCAAAGGCACATAGATTGGAAAAGAAGTTAAATCATCACTTCTTGAAGATGACATGGTAATAAAGAGTGAAGACCCTGAAGAGTCCACATGTGGGGTTGGAGAGCTAGTACAGAGGGCAGGGCACTTGCCTGGCACATGGCTGACCCAGGAACCACGTGTGGAATCCCGAATTTCCTCAGGAATGCTTTCTGAGCACACTGCCTAGGAGTAAGCCCTGAACACACCAGATGTGATCCCAAAACAAACAAAAAGACTCCACACATACAAAATTTTTATAAATAATTAGCCAATATAGCAGAGTAGCATGCTACAAAATCAACCCAAAATAATCCTTCCTTCTTTCTTTTCTTCCTTCATTTTGTTCTTTTTTCTTTTAAGGTAAGGTAAGGTAAGGTAAAGGCCCTCCCGTTGATCGTCGATTTGCTCGAGCGGGCCCAGTAACGTCTCCATTGGAGACTTTGTTGTTACTGTGTCTGGCATATCCAATACTCTCGGTAGCTTGCCGGGCTCTCCGAGAGGGGCGGAGGAATCGAACTCGGGTCGGCCATGTTGGCCGCGTGTAAGGCGAACGCCCTACCCTCTGTGCTATCGCTCCGCCCAAAAAAAGGTAAAGGCCCTCCCGTTGATCGTCGATTTGCTTGAGCGGGCCCAGTAACGTCTCCATTGGAGACTTTGTTGTTACTGTGTTTGGCATATCGAATACTCTCGGTAGCTTGCCGGGCTCTCCGAGAGGGGCGGAGGAATCGAACTCGAGTCGGCCATGTTGGCCGCTTATAAGGCGAACGCCCTACCGCTGTGCTATCACAGCGGGTTTTTTCTTTTAAAACCCGCTGGAGCGATAGCACAGCAGTAGGGCGTTCGCCTTACAAGCAGCCAACATGGCCGACCTGAGTTCGATTCCTCTGCCCCTCTCGGAGAGCCCGGCAAGCTACCGAGAGTATTCGATATGCCAAACACAGTAACAACAAAGTCTCCAATGGAGACGTTACTGGGCCCGCTCGAGCAAATTTTTCTTTTAAATTTTTAAAATTGAATATCTGTGAGATACACAGTTACAGAACTGTCCATGGTCAGATTTTAGTCATTCAATGATCCAGCATCCCTCCACCAGTGTATATTTCCCACCACCTATGCCCCTTGTTTCGCTCTCACCATCTCCCAACACCAAACCCCCCGTCCCCAGCCTCCTTCTATGGGAGGAACTTTACTTCTTGCTCTCTCTCCCTCTCCTTTACCTTTTGTGCATTTCAGTTTGCAATACAAGTACTAAAAGATTATGGTTTTTGTTCAGGGCATTCAGTATTTTTATCAGAACAGTAAGACTAGAGTAGCTTTTTAACTGGGCGGCAGCTTTGGGGTGTGGATGTGATTGCCGAGCCTTCTGGAAGTATAGGGAGGTGGGGGGAGGTAGCCCATCCTGGCCCCGAGAAAGCCTGAAGATTTCAGTCACAAAACCCACATAACCAGAATTTTCAGCAGATTATCTCGGTGAGGTCTGTCCTGAGATGCGGAGTCAGGCCAAGGATATGGTGGTGATTTGGATTGTAGGAGCAAGTGACTGTTGGGGGCTCTGCTTGGGCAGGTACCATGTGACCCAACGCACTCTGATATCCTCCACTCTGTTCAGCCATGGGTGGGTCTGGGATCAACTGCAGCTTTTGATCTCTATGAGATTTCTATGATGAGATTTCTATTTCTATGATCTCTATGGGTCTCTGAAGCAAGGTGAGTAGTAGAGCTTACATGTTGGTGCTGGAGTTGGTTTGTAGGGTGACTGCTAGTGCTTCCAGGAGTATTGTGAAGTGGGCGGAGTTAGCCCATCCTAATTCTGAGAAAATCTGGAGATTTTAGTTACAAAACCTGTACACCTGAATTTTCAGATTATGTCTTGGTGAGGTTCGTCCTGAGATGGTGGAGTCAGGTCAGAGGTAGGGTGGTGATTTTGGATTGTGGAAGCAAACAGTTGCCAGGGGCTCTGCTTGGGTGGGCTCCAGGATGACCTGCCCTGCTTTGATTTACCCCCGTCTGTTCTGCCATGTGCCGGTCTAAGATTAACTGCAGTCTTTGATCTCTTTTGAGATTTATTTATTTGGTCACGGTCACGGTCCTCCCGTTGTTCATTGATTTGCTCGAGCGGGCCCAGTAATGTCTCCATCATGACACTTCTTTTCACTGTGTTTGGCATATCGAGTACGCCACGGGGGGCTTGCCAGGTTCTGCCGTGCGGGCGAGATACTCTCGGTAGCTTGCCAGGATCTCCAAGAGGGGCGGAGGAATCAAACTCGGGTCGGCCATGTTGGCTGCGTGCAAGGCAAACGCCCTACTGCTGTGCTATTGCTCCAGCCAATTTATTGGTCTCTGAAATATATGGGCCCATAAATGAGCTTGGATAGCTGAGCTGGAGGTGGTTTATGGGCATGGCTCCCACATACTTAACTTTTGGCCATTTAATTTCTTGGTAAACTTGGTCCCAAGTTGTTGGGGTCTGGCCAAAGGCACAGCATCAATTTTGGGGTATCAGAAAGCCTGAAAGTACCATCAGGCTGCTGATGCACTTGCCCTGCAGCACAGATTGACCTGCTGGTGGCATCATACCCGGACCTTTACTTCTTTCATTTATTCTGTCTTGTTTTGGGGCCATACCTGGCGGTGCTCAAGGATTACCCTTGACTCTGCTCAGGGATCACTACTTGCAGTGCTGGAGAGATCATATGTGGTACTGAGGACTAAATGTGGGTCACCTGCATGCAAGGCAAGTGCCTCACCCTCTGTATTATCTCTCTGGCTCCAGCTGACATATTCCTGAAGATAGGACTTGGGGATATTGCTTCTTTAAATTACAATACGCAGTCCCTGTGCTTTTGTATAACAATGCTTGGTAAATACAATGTGTGTTCAACACAATGTTTGTTGCTTCTAATCATGTATGTGATTTTATTTTTTCAGCTCCATGGATCAAGCACAGACAATCTCAGACCATCCTCTTCCCATCCCCAACTCCCAGCCTGAGAAGAAAAGAACATCTGTGATGTCTTTCTTTTCCAAGGTCTGACACAACATTTATGAACAGACACTCCTTCCCATCAGCAACATGTAGCTCATGTAGTTGTCTTGCTTTTGCTCCCTTCTGAAATGAGATTGATGGAAGTTTTTAAATATGGATAGGATGTTGTAGGATGGCAAAAAGATATTTGCATGAGAACTGAACTTGCTGCTTACTTAATAAGAATATAGAATGAGCTGCAATGACTAATAATAATGGGTCAGACCCAGGATTCTGAATAGATTTGGTATTTGGTATGGACTACCAAGGGTGATGGGCTGGAGCGATAGCACAGTGGGTAGGGCATTTGCCTTGCATGCGGCTGACCTGGGTACGATTCCTCTGTCCCTCTTGAAGAGCCCGGCAAGTTACTGAGAGTATCCCGCCCGAATGGCAGAGCCTGGCAAGCTACCCATGGTGTATTTGATATGCCCAAAACAGTAACAACAAGTCTCACAATGGAGAAGTTACTGGTGCCCGCTCAAGCAAATTGATGAACAACAGGAGGACAGTGCTACAGTGCTACCAACAGTGATGGGCAGATGGCTTTTTCTTGCCTCCTGTATGGGTCTTGTGCCATTGGATCCTGACTTGAGCCTGTTTTGACATGCCTTGGGTTGCGCAGAATATCAGGGTTCAAATGCTTCAGACAGATTAGCAATAATTTAGAGTTGCTATAACTCAGAATTTTCTCCTTGAATCACAGTATTTCTGCATCAGACACACCGTGGGTACCAACCTGTATTGTCATGAATTTCTTTTCCTAATGTGAATTCTCAGGGTGTAGGTCCTAGGTGGGTCATCTTCCAAGGGCTCTGAGTTACCTGTGTTTGTGCTATGCTTCTTCTGGGTCATATGCTGCTGAGAGACTGAGGAGGATGAATGCTAAGATAGACCCTTGGATTGGCCATATTGGGATGGAGTGGAGTTGTGGAGGCGAGGGAGAGACATTAACCTCATTGCAGAAGGTTCAAGAAAGGAGGAGGAGAGGAAATGAAGGAGGCAAAGATAATTTTCTTTTAAATCAGTGACCATGAATTACAGTTTTTCATGAGTGTGTTTCAGGATACAATGTTCCAACACCAATCCCTTTACCGGTGTCCATTACTCTCCACCAAATACCCCCAGTTTCCCTTTCACCCAGCAGCCTGCATCTATGACAGGCACTTTTAAAAAAAAATGTATTAGTGAATTACTGTGAGGTACAGTTACAGTCTTACAAACTTTTGTGCTTGCATTTCAGTCATAAAATAGTTTAGTATCCATCCCTCCACCAGTGCCCATTTTCCACCACCGATGGTCCCAGCATCCCTCCCACCACCCCCACCCTGTCCCCTCCACCCCACCCTGCCTCTGTGGCAGGGCATTCCCTTTTGCTCTCTTTCTCCTTTTGGGTATTGTGGTTTGCAGTGGAGGCTTTAAGTGGCCATCATGTTCGGTCTATAGTCTACTTTCAGCCCACATCTCCCATCCCATGACAGGCACTTTTAAAATAAATTTTAGGCACTGTGGTTTACAGTATTTACTGACAGGCCTTCATGCATAACACTTCACCCCCTTTCTAGCATGATCTCCTCCTCCTGAGAGACCAGTCTCTCTACCGTTGCTGCTGTGTTCTCTCCTCTGTCTCCTCCCTCTCCCTCTCCTGGACCCCCCATCCTCCCAGGGAGACAAGCTTCCCATTAAGACTAGTTCTCATGTTCTTCATTTCAATTGTCTCTGGGCATGTGTTACTTGTTTACTATTTTTCATTATATCCCACATATGTGAGATCATTCTGGATACATGTGTTTTTAAGGCCTTTAGCTGGAAAAGAAAAAAGAGCAATGGGGAAGTGCTAGAGAAGGAAGGGGGTAGAGGAAGCTCCTTAGCAATGGGAGGAATAATACCATGCCGTGAGCTGTGAAGGGTGACTATCCTTAGCTCTGTCTGAAAGGCTCCTTTCTCCTCCATCCCCACAGTGCAGCTGTCCTGCAATGTTTGTCTTGAAAATTCCCCAACTTCGACACCAGTCCTGCTCATCTTTACTTCCTCTTCCCTCTTCCTCCATGAATCTCTTCCCTATATAAATCAAAAGCATTTCTTTAAAAAAATCTTATTTTTCCCCTTTTTAAATCGTGTTTTATTTTAGCTAACATTGTCACAATAGAGATCAATTTTGTGGTGTTGTTGTACAAGATTGCTGTAATTTATTTTTAAAATTTTCATTAGTGAAATACCGGAGGTACAGTTGTAGACATACAAATTTTTGTGCTTGAGCTTCAGTTATACAGTGATCGCATACCCATCCCTCCACCAGTGCCCATTCTCCACCACCACTGATCCCAGTATCCCTCCCACCCCCACTCCCCATCCGACCCCCCAATTCCACCCCGCCTCTGTGGCAGAGCATTCTCTTTTGTTCTCTCTCTCCTTTTGGGTGCTGTGGTTTGCAAAAGAGGAATTGAGTGGCAATCATGTTCGGTCTATAGTCTACTTTCAGCATGCATCTCCCACCCTGGCTGATCTTCCCAACACCCTTTATTTGGTGCTCCCATCTCTATCTGAGCTGCCTTTACCCCTAGAGTGTGCGGCTGGCCTCCAAGCCATGGAGATTGCTATAATTTTAACACCACCAAAATATTCAAGACCCTCTACCATTGTCCTTGTGTCACTTGTAGTCTTCCTCTTTCTTCCTTTCCTTCCCGCTAGTTATGCAGTAATTTCAGTGTTTTTATTTAGACACTGTAAAAATTGGATTCTTTAGGCATAGGAAGGAAGACAAGACTGATCAGGAGTAGTTCAGAATGTTTTATTGAGGGGGGGGCGAGGGGTCAGGTTGACTGTGAATTCTCCACACCAATGCATTGCTGACTCTTGTTCAGGTCTCTCGGAAGCTGAAGACCCAGAATCAGGAGTCTCTGAAGACTATGTTTTTCATCTTGGCAGAAAAGGCCCAAGACCCCAGTGCTAAAAAGCGTCACATGGCAATAAAGGGCCTGGGGACCATGGCCTCTGAGAACCCCAGCAAGGTAGGAAGAAGGGCTGTGCCTGGCCTCCCCAGGATTGGGGTAGGGGAGCTCATGCATCAATCATCCAGTGCTGTGTTTCAGAGTTCCCGGACACAGCAGCTTGAGGCAGTACACGTGACTTCCCTTGTCATTTCCTGGGCACAGGGATCCAGCCTGGTTGGGGCAGGTCCTCTGCTAGGGTCCAAAGAGGATGCAATCAGCATGAACTCCCCTTAAAGCTTGGGTGCTCATCCAAGCTTGGGTGCTGGAAGAATTCAGTTCCTTCCAGCTGTTGACTGTCTACCCTTACTTCCTAGCCACTGCCCTCTCACTCCATGGCAGCTGACCTCTTCCAGGACTTTAGGAATGTCACCACCCAGGTCTGATGATATTATGTAGAGTCACCATTGGAACAATATCCCTGTTTGGTACATTCTCTAGCCTTGGAGAGTTCCTGGTTCTTCCCACACTCAGGGGAGGGGGTTAGACAAGGTCAAGATTCTCTGGGGGATTTCCACCCGGTTTTATATCTTGGGCGGTTGGAGCGATAGCACAGCGGTAGGGCATTTGCCTTGCATGCAGCCAGCCTGGCCCAGCCGGGTTCGATTCCTCCACCCCTCTCGGAGAGCCCGGCAAGCTACCGAGAGTATCTCGCTCACACGGCAGAGCCTGGCAAGCTCCCCATGACGTATTCAATATGCCAAACACAGTAACAACAAAAGTCTCCAATGGAGACGTTACTGGGCCCGCTCGAGCAAATCAATGAACAACAGGAGGACAGTGACAGATTATATCTTGGTGGGCTGGAGGGATAGCACAGCGGTAGGGCATTTGCCTTGTGCGCAGCCGGCCGGCCGAGCTGAGTTTGATTCCTCCACCCCTCTTGGAGAGTCCAGCAAGCTACCGAGAGTATCTTGCCCGCACGGCAAAGCCGGGAAAGTTACCTGTGACGTATTCAATATGCCAAACACAGTAACAAGAAGTCCCACAATGGAGACATTGCTGGACCCCTCGAGCAAATCGATGAAAAATGGGAGGACAGTACTAAGAACATTATACCTTGGTATTATCAGCCTTGGGAGATAGAGGTGTAGGCAGGTTACATCCAACTGGACTTCATTTTCCTTGTGAATTTTATTTTCTAATCACTTATGCTTGTTTAGTAAAAGATGCTTCTTCCGCCCCTTCCTTGAACATCTGTCAAGCAATGCCCATTTCTTTTCATTCCAGAATGCTGTGCTATTTGCCCTGACCTCTAGATCATTCTGGTCCACTAACCTCCTTGAAGAGCTTTATCCAACCTCCTCCACCTGCTGACTGAGTTCCAAATCACTCTCTCTGCCCTCCTAATACTGAGTTAGGCTCCTGGATTAGGTTAATGGAACCATTTGTCTTTCAATAAGCCTTGTTGGATCAGATTCGGAAGCTTATCAGATCCTCAAAGCTTATCCTGAGTCCCAGGCTGTCAACGATTTGCTGTGAAGTTGCTTTTCAACTCATAGAGAATAAGTTCTGTGTTTCTAATGCTTTTAAAACCTGGGGCACAGGTGAAGAAGTATAAGAAAGTTGTTCTAGACCTGCTGGTACATGGATTATATGACCCCATGAGTCTCGAGGTCATCTACGAGAGCATGAAGACACTGACCATCATCCTGGGCAAGATCCGGGGGAAGGGTCTGGGCTCCTTCTTCATCGACATCACTCTGCAGACCCGGACTTTGTTAGAGGACGTGAGTAAAACCACAAGCGAAGGGGCTGGGTGATTGGCATCCCTGTGGGATCAGAAATATGAACCCAGGGCATGTTGCTCACAGAGCAAGGTCATTCATAATTTCTTCACAGATTTTAGGGTACTGTGTTGGGGGTTAAGAACCATAGGATTTCGTTACCCGACCTCAAGGAGTGTCTGTATAATAGAGAAGAAGATGCCTGTCACGAGACACCTTGTGTTGTGACCACCCACGGCCACTGTCCTTGTTAACTACCACAGTGTGTAGCTGATGTTCTCTTAGAAATGCAACCATAGCAATAGAGTCTTGAGCAATGCCTTGCTGTGGTCAGGGGCAGGGTTAGGCATGTGGCGTGGGGATCTGTGGAATCATCATGAGAACCCTGTCCTGTACCTCTGTGAATGAGGAAACCAAAGCCCTGAAGGGTTGACTGAGTTGCTAGATTAGGGTCGTGGAGTATATGACTCTGTGGCCAGTAAGTGAATAAGAAAAACAAGGGAGGCTGAGTAAAGGGTGCTTCAGTACATGGTTCAGTTCAAAAAGGGAGATTTCCGATACTGTCCTTCTAGGCTAACCCATTAGCTTGTGTTGACTATAGGATTAGCGACAGAATGTTCGGATAGTGGCCTGTTTGCTCTCTTGAATCTCTTTCTCTTCTTCTCCCTCCCTCTCTCATTCTCTCCTTTTTCCTCCCTCCCTTTCCCCGCTGCCATTTTCTCCTTCCCTTTTCTCCCCCCTTTATCTCTTCCTCTCCCTCACCTTCTCTCACCCTCTCTTCTTCTCTTTCTCTCCTCTCCTCACCCTCTTACCCATGGAAAACAGATCTACTATCTGCTAATCTGTAGGGTCCACACCCAGCAGTTAGTTCTGGGTGGCAGGCAAGGGGTGGGTGTCCACTTCAATGCTTGCCCCTGTGGTGTTAGCCTAACGGTTTGCTGCTCAGCAGGCTTTGGGGGGCTCTGGGGGCCCTGTGGAACTGGGGATCATCAGACTCAGGGCCTCACAAATGGCCCTGGATGCTGCAGTGGAGGAGAAGCTAGTCTGGGCCACGGCTGCCCATTGAGCAGTGTTCGGGTGTCCTCTTCTGTTCTCGGGACCCACAGGAGAATGACAGCTTGAGATACTCTGCGTTCGTCCTGTTTGGGCAACTGGCTGCATTTGCGGGGCACAAGTGGAAGAAGTTCTTTGCCAGCCAGGTGAGGCAGACCAAGGACTCCCTCCTGAGCCATCTGCAGGACCGGAACCCCCAGGTTGCCAAGGTGAGTGTTCCCCACATGCAGGGGGCTCTCAGGGCTACCACAGAGGGAGCAGAGATGGGTCGGTGTGTGCATGGGACATCTGGGTGAACCCCAAAAGGTGATTCTTCAAGGGGGAATCTGTCTGTGAACCCCAAAAGTCAAGTCCTAGAGGGTGAATCTGTCTTTCTGATCAAGTCTTTGTGTGTGCGTGCGTGCGTGCGTGCGTGCGTGCATGCGTGCGTGCGTGCGTGTGTGTGTGTGTGTGTGTTTGTATGGCAGTGTGCAAAGGATATGGTACTTAGGGTTTACTCCTTGATCTGAGCTCAGGGATCTCTCCTGGTGGGCTGAGGGGACCATACATGGTGCCAGAGATCAAGCCCAGGGTGGTTGCATGCAAGACACATGCCCTCCACACTATTATTGCTCTAGGCCTTGAACAAGTCCCTTTCTATTTTCCCATCCTCTCTGGTTCTGGGGATGAACCCAGAGACTCCCACAGGGACACAGGTGCTCTTGCAGTGAGTTGAGGCCCAGGACCCAGTGAGAGAGTCTTTGCTCCCATCCTACCTGCCAGTCGCGGCCCCTGTCAGTGCCAGAGGACTGGGTGAAGGGAGCAGTAGACACAGTAGCCAGGATCTTGGTTCCATCCCATTTAGTTATTTTTTCCCCCCTGTGAATTATTTTATGAATTTCAGCGCCAGAGTTTGCAACACTACTAATGGTGGGCTTCCTTACATAATTCATCCTCTACCAGAGAATTTGCTGGCCTCCACTGTTAGCCAGTGCCCTCTCCTGCCGTCCCCCTTCCTGTGGTGAGCTTGCTATGAAATGAAGACCAGTTGTTAGTTTCTGTTGTGTTTGGGCGTATGTTATTCCCCCTCCTGTGTCTCCCACAGATGAGCGAGCTCACTCTGTGTCCATTTAGCTAAGGCCTCTGGGCATGCACAGATGTTGCCTGCCTTCCCAGGGTGCTTCCTAAGTTTACCCTTAGAGAACTGTGTGCTTCAGTCATGAATCAACCTGCCCTGGTCTCCTTTGCTGTGGGATGAGAGTTTAAACACCTTTGTGAGCCAAGGCTCGTACCATCCACTTTGGTTTGCTTTTAGGAATCTGTACAACTTTTGAGGGGCCAACAACAGGGACCCTACTATATTAAAACATCATGACATGATAGACCCTGTCATAGGTGTAGATTCTTTGGCTGCAGTTTCAAGCTTTCTGAAAGTTTCTTTCACGTGCTCTGCCATGTATGGATTAGCTACATGCCCCAGGATGGCTCTTCTCAGGAGTATAATAATCTTTAGGCCTGTATGTGTGCATGGTGTTAACGATAACATGATGTTCCTCAGGCTTGCAAGACAACTTTTCGAGCCTGTTCCCCATATCTGAAACAAAAGGAGCAGAGCTTCCAGAATGGAGATGATCAAAGGAACCCTAAACTCAGCAGGCAGCTGGTGAGTGAGTGAGGGGGTCACGAGACACACAGGGCTCCCCCACAGTCCCAGCCCCAGCCCTGTCATGCCACCCTGGGGAGTTGCCTCCCATAAAACAATCGGCCAATTCTATGTGGATGGTAATTGAGCCCTTCCAGCATTTATAAGGCACGTGACAAGGGGCAAGACTCTGGCGGCCTCTGTACAGAGTGTACTGGCAGCGGCAGCTGTGGTCTGGGCCTCGCCACTGTGGAGCCGGCTCACTAGACCGAGTGCATGTCTGCATCTGTCTCCCCCGCTGCAAGGTCCAGGGGCCGGTGCAAGCCCTCTCTCACCCGTGCCTTTGCTAATTTCTTTCAGAGCCACTACCACCCTGAGCTCCTGCAGTTCTTCTATGCCAATAAAATTCTGTGAACACAGTGGGAATGGTTCCGAGTGAGCACATCTGGGGGCAAGGGGCTGAGCACTCCCCCTCTTTTTATTTTTTAACACTGCGATGCTTCTGCTTATTTCCCGGGGGGGAGAGAGTGTGTCTAGACAAGGGAGTGCAGTGGGTGGCCGACACCATCCAGTGGGGCTGTGTAATGACCTGCAGAGTCAATTCTAAATTCCTCTCACGTGTCTCGTTTTTCTCCCCACACAGATCTGATGGCAAGGGACACGCTTCCTTGATCTAACACACATGTAGGTTTAGCTCTCAGCCTTCCCTCGGCTTAGCTCTGTCCACTTTACCTTTCAGATTGATTTTTCAAAAATGACTGAGGCTTGGAAGGATACCTATTTCATTTTAAAGTGTGTGTGTATCTCTGTGTTGGGGGGGGGAGGGAGAGTTCCAGGGATCGAGTCCAGAGCCTCACACTTGTGAAACATGTTGCTTTCCCATGGAGGCACGGCCTTTCCTATGTCCCTGTTTCTGTGGAACACCCTAGTGGGTCACAAATGATACCAGGGGGGTCTTAATGTCACTCCGAGAATCAAAAACCCAGAGACAGAGCCAGGTCAGAGAGGCAGTGGGCAGAGAGAGGTGTCCTAGCAGGACAGATGGAGAAGGGGTTCCAGGAGCCAGGCAAGATCCAGGTTTCTGTTGAACTGTTTAGAAGCTGGGGTGCATGAGGGGGAGCTCTGCAGGCTGGGGGGTGACCCTACTCAGGAGCAGGGGGTTGGTGGTGAGCTGACCAACCCACCCCACCAGCAGCCTGCTGGAAGCTGATCCACCAGTTGGTTTAGAATCTGGTGCAGTTCTGTCAAATGATTGTGATGGCCTGAGAGAGCTCCTCATCTTGCCAGCTCTCTGAAAGGTAAAGGGAGGGCAGAGAAAGGCGGGCCACTTGCTCCAGGGTGGCGCCGGCTAGGAAGCTCTCTGTCCCTGCTTGCATTCTGAGCGTGGGAGATGCTGTTAGTGACATTAAGAGCCCATGCAGACTCATTTGGTCCCAGTGACTCAAGTCTCCTGACATGGATCCCCTGGTGCCTTCCCCTGCTCTTGAGTCCAAGCTGGCTTTGTCACCTGCTCCAAGCATGGGGGGTGCCAGAAGGTCCCCTGGGCCTATTCTAGGCTCTGCTGGAAGGGTGTGGGCACCGTCCTCCTTTGCTCTCTGGGGGAAGCCAGCTGCCGGGGAAGAAGCTGGGCTTCCTGGGACGGGGTGGGCGGGTGGGGCTGCAGTTCCGGAAGGAGGACCAGGCTGAGCAGATGGAGCTGCCCATGGTGGACAAGTGAGGACCCGAAGGTGCCTGTGCAGGACCACCCCAGGATAACTCAGATTTGGTTCTTCCATGGCTTTAGTCCCTTGGACTCCCCTCATCGAGGAGGAGCTTGTCATTTCCTGAGCTCTTGCCCATCTCCAAACTGCAGAAGCAACAGTGGCCCCTTTCACAACCAACTGTGTGTTTATAGGTAAAGTGCCTTCTGGGGCCAAGAATCTTGACTTTACCCTCTGAGCCGAGGCTGTGCCTCTTTGTGAAAACTTCACCCCCTCTCTCCATGGCATCTTCGACTAGTGACTTATAGCTCCTCTCTCTTTGGCAGAATTTGACACCTGCATAATCATTGTATCTCCCTCTGCTATTAAAAAGGTGTTTTCCTTTGCTGACCTGTCTGATGCTGTTTTAATTATTTGTCCAATCCTGAGGACCTTCCCTCCCCACTGACCCCCGGGCTCTGACAGAACTTCAGCACACGAGGAAGCTAGAATCCAGACATCGGACCCTACTGGCCATTCCAATCAGATCCTGGTCATTCAAAGAATCACCAGATGTGGACCCATGAAAAGAGAGTCTCTCTCTCTCTCTCTCTCTCTCTCTCTCTCTCTCTCTCTCTCTCTCCCTCCCTCCCCACCCCCACCCGCCCGCCCGCCCTCCCCTGCCTCTCTTTCTCTCTCTCTCTCTCTGATCCTAAATTGTGGAATGTTGGCAAGTCAGCAAGTGATGGCAATTCTCAGGCACTGATATTTTAGACTCTGTGTCATTCAGCAGGAAGGAACCCCAGCGGTCCCTATTTAGGGTTTTTGGTCCAGCATTGCTTTTGGTTTTTTGAGTCTAAGCTACCATGTAGGCAGTTATCTTAGGGAATCGTTGGTGAGGGAGAGCAAGGGCCGGGGCTTTGGTTTCCTTGTAGGATTGCACTGCCTGCATCCATCACAGGGCTAACATTTCACAGATGATTACACATTTGCTGAATGCTAAAGAGCTCCAGATTGCAGAGGGGATGAAACCCAAGCTCTAGTTTGCCATTCCAGACTCCCAGCCACGAGCTCACACTCTTGTTTCCAGCTACTTCTTCTGTTACTTCCTCTGCCCCACTTAAGGTTGGTGCCTCTCTCTTCCCTCAACACTTCTTAGCCTCTTACCTTTACTCAGGCTCTTTATCAAGCTCCCTTTGTCTCCCCCAGCCCCTCTAAGCAATGAGTCCGTGCGTGCGTGCGCGCGCGTGCGCACACACACACACACATACACACACACCACCACCACCACCATATGTAACCTCTTACCCACATTCCGGGGCCCAGATCAAATGCCTGATCACCTTAATTAGGGAAGAACTTAGAGATCTCAGAACTCCCAGAACTTTCGAATCCTCTCACACCACTTCACATTATCTGATCTTCCCTGAAAGTTGAAAGCTGTATTCGCCCACACACCTTCCTTTCCTGTTAGAGTGAAGTTGCTGAAGGCAGCAGGAATCCTCTAGTCTATCTCTGTCTCCCACCCAACTCAGTAGGGGCTCAGCAAATGAAAGCTGATGGGGAGAAGCATGTCAGAAAACCAGTGTGTGTGGGGGGGGGGCGGGGGGGGGGAGGTGTGGGCAGGAGTAGAGGGATAGAGAAATAGTATAGCGGGAAAGGAACTTGTTTGCCTACAGCTGACCCAGATTTGATTCCTGGCATCCCATATGGTCCCCCGAGCATCACCAGTAGTAATTTCTGAATGCGGAGCCAGGAGTAACCCCTGAGCATTGTCAGGTGTGGTACCATAGCACTGTAGCACTGTCCTCCCATTGTTCATCGATTTGCTTGAGCGAGCACCAGTAACATCTCCATTGTGAGACTTGTCGTTACTGTTTTTGGCATATAGAAACTTATGAACGGGGAGCTTGCCAGGCTCTGTCGTGTGGGCAAGGTACTCTGGGTAGCTTGCCGCACTCTCCGAGAGGGGTGGAGGAATTGAACCTTGGTTGGTTGAGTGCAAGGCAAATGCCCTATCCTCTGTGCTAGTATTGCTCAAAAACAAAAAAACAGAACAAAACAAAAAAGGAAGCCATCTAGAGCTCTTTCTCTTTCAGGCTCAATTTTCAAATGATGGTAATCCTTTTCTTTTTATCATCAATGCACGGGCTAATTTTATGCTGTTTTAAACTTTCTTCTCCTCCATAAAGTCCTTATAGCTTCCTTTTAAAAGTTTTTATTTATTTTTGCTTCTAGGGCCTTACCTGGCTATGCTCAGGGGCTACTTCCATCTTGGTTCTGGGAGATAAAAGCCAGGCTTTTGGCCTACAAAGCATGGGTGGGCTTGAGTCCTTTGAGCTGTCTCTGTGCGCCCCCCCCCCACACACCCCCAGTTGCTTATTTATTTTTATTTGCAGTGTTGGGGATTGAAACCAGAGCCTCACACATACAAGACTTGCACTCTACTGCCCGGCCACAGCCCTGGCTCCTGTTACTTTAAATGCCAACCTTAAGGTCAGGTTTTGCTGGACCATTTCATCTGGACACCAGCTGTAGATTAACCAAGTGAACGCAAGAAAGAAAGGAAGTTCAAATGCTCTGGGACTCAGGACTCAAGCAGCCACAATGCAGAAACTTTGTTCAGGGCTACTGGGATACTCAGAAAATGGGTCTTTCTTGAAAGGTTGGGAGCAAGAAGAAGAGAAGACACAGAAGGCAGTTGTGGGGGGGGGGTGTCTAAAGGTGTGACCAGGAGGGCAAGAAGCCCGTGGGAATTTTGGTCAGGAAAGGCACTCATGGAGGGAACGGTCCACATCCAGCTGTGCAGCGTTTCACAGAGAGAAGCACAGCTGTGATGGGAAGCCAGTCGTTCCTGTCCAAATAAGGCTGGTTAGACTTGTGCTCCTCTGCAAAGAGCAGGCATTGCCTCTGCAAGCCTAAAACACACAGTGCTCTTTTATTTATTTTACATTTTTATCTTTTTAATTTTTATTAGTGAATCACCGTGAGGTATAGTTACAAACTTACTAACTTTCCTGTTTGCATTACAGTCATACAATGATCATTTACCCATCCCTTCACCAGTGCCCATTCTCCTCCACCAGTGTTCCCAGCATCCCTTCCACCAACCCCAACACCCCATCCCTCAGCACCCCACCCCACCTCAGCGGCAGGGTATTCCCTTTTGTTCTCTCTCCTTTTGGGTGTTGTGGTTTGACACAGTGCTCTTTTAAAGCACTGTCTTTAGGGTATAAATTGGCCACGTGCTGTGCTTTTGAAAGCCTGGGATCTCTATCCACCTCCTAGTCTCTGCCTATCTTTGTCCTTTCGTGACATAACCTGTAGATGTTAGAGCCTGGTGACCAATAAAGTGACTGTTGGATGATTATTCTTGATTATTTTATGGTCTATCAGTCTAACTTCAGTCAGCAAGTTTTTTCTTCCTGTCCTATTTTTGTGTCAGAGGTTCCTAGAAAAGTCTGCACCCCCATTGACTGAGGAGAGACAAATTATTGTGCAGAAGTCCCCTTTATTCATCACCTAAAGCACAGACTCCCAAGCCCAGTGTATGAGAGTCTCTATAATAAACACCAAGCTGATATCCATGGCTCGTCCTAAATGCCTGCAGCCTGGAATGATTTTCCCTGTCCGGTTCTAGTTCTCCTTCCTCCGTTCCCCCAGCTGAGACCAACTGTCTGAGACCCATCTTCAGAAGCAGAGTCGAGCAGATCAGAGGGTGGAACCAGAAGTCTGACTCCCATGGGGGTGCGAATCTGATTCTGACACTTTTTCACCTGACTCGGGCAAACTCAGCACACTCAGCCTTAGTTTGCTCATCCATGAAATGGGCTAAGCACCCAAAGAGTTCTTGCATCACAGAGATTCAGCTAGAAAACACTCACTACATGGCACAGAGAAGGCGCTAAGAAAACACCTGGGAAATGTTCCTTCTCCCTCCCACCCCCATCCTCCGCCCTCACCCCCGCAGTGAGTGCTCCTGGCTACGGGGTCCTCTCTTGAAGCTGCCCACATCCTCAGAAGGTTCCACTCAGGTTTGTACAGGAAAGTGGATGTCATTTCCATCCTCTCAAATGAGTGTCTATTCAATGTCTTGCTCCCTGCCAGGCCCCCGAGA